CTTGCATTATTTTCAGCTTTACTCTCGGCTTCTTTCCTGCCCATACAAATTTATTGATGCCCTTCTGCCATTCTAAAAGATTCACATCTTTTTTAAGTATAGGTAACATTTGGAAAAGAAATAAAATTTTTGGTAAGATATTCATTTTCACTGACGCGATTCTTCCCAACAAAGATAAGTGTAACTTCTCCCATTTTTTCATCTCTATCTGTATACTATGCCAGAGTGGTTCATAATTATACTTGTATAATTTCCCATTTGAGATTGCAATATTAACTCCAAGATATTTAACCTTTTTGACTACCTCACATCCTAACATTCCTCCTAACTCCTCCTTTTGTTTAGTATTCATATTTATGGCTAATATTTTCGTTTTCCCTAAGTTTATTTTAAAACCAGACACTTGACCATATTGATTAATCGTATTCATTAAAACCATACTGGATTCCTGCGGTTGTTCCAATATTATAACCAAATCATCCACAAAACCCCGCACTCTGTATTCTTGCTGCCTAACCTTAATTCCTTTTAGACCCTCCAAGCCCCGTGCTGTTGTAACTTAAATGGCCACTAAATGAATGGTGGTAAGTTGAGGACTACCTTAAAATAGGAAGTAAAGACCAAATGTTTTCTTAGCACTTGGATGCCAATAAAGCAAAGAAAATGCAGTAAGGCTGCATAAAATATAAAAGGAAATATCCCGTTTGTGTTTTTAAAAAATTGTTGTGTGTTCTTCATTTCTCAGGTTTTGGAATAAGTATCCACCATGAGCCAAGGAGGTTGGATAGGAACATGGAGGCCTCATCGTCCAAGAGGCCCAATCATGGCCCAGTATACCAGTCCTGGCCCCAAGTACTGCATACAAGGGGCAACAGGTAAATAAACAGAAATAAAATTGTTCCATCAGTCAGGACTTTAAAACATAGTCAGTGTTTTGTTATATATTTATTTATCATTGCCATTTACAGCAGACCCCACCCAAAAATGTCTTGGATAACAATGTGGAACATCCAATAATAACAATTAGTAGAACTGATTTTTTAAAAAAAAGAATTCAAAATGAAAAGACATCACAATATACCCACATGTATTCCCTTTTGGAAATAATTTTCTGTAATGATTTTCTGCACATTTCAACAGTGAGATCCCTACCAGTAAGTGCCTGATGTGTTACTATATTACTTGCTTGCTGCTATTTTATTTAATGTTCTATACTTATTATTTTTATGGCTTTTTAAAACTGTAATACTAATTTTGGTGTTTTTTCTCCTGATTCAAGTAGAATTTAATTTCAGGGCTTGGAGACCTTCTGAAAAATCATCCTCTCAAACTTTTGACATTAGGTCAGGAACATCATAAATCTTAAAATCTAGATCAACCACCTCCACTTAATATCCCCCAAAAGTGATGAAGCTGCAACATCGAGAATTCTCAATCAACACAATAATTTGAATTGGAAGCACCTAACGTTGGTGATGATGTTGAGAGTAGATCTGCACATCCAAGTTGTGCCAGCATAAATCCAGACGACTAGCTGTTTCCCAAGGGCAACCATGGATGAGGCCATCCTTTCCCTGCCTTCGTACCCTAGCCATCAGAAAGATAACCTCAGCTATTTTGGGCTGCACATCAAGATTTTTCAATTTGTATCAGCACTGGCCATGCTGCCCTATGTATCTGTTGTGCTTCATTTCATTGTAGACAAATATTGCTTTCTAATTGGCCATGAGGTGCTATAGGTCACTTGCTTTCCACAACCATCTTGCCCTGGGCTGCTTAGCTGCCACCCCATTTCTCAACTGTCATTCACAATTGAATCTAATTTCCCCATTCATCTTGTCACTGGATTATGAAACTCAGAACCTTTTTTCCCCCTACCAAGTTCACCAATAGAAGAATAAAAACATGGAGGATTATTAAATAAAGATAAGATAAATTGACAAAAATTTTGCCAGTTTCCCCTTCTAGCCAGGTGACAGGAAGAATTGTAAAACAATGGTGTTTTCTCTTTAGATCTCCCCCCCCCTTGCTTTTTAACCAACCCATCAATAGAAGCCCTTGATGGGAAGTTGTCCATCAATGGAAATTACACGTTCTCAAAGAAACATTCATGCAAAGGGAAAAGATTTGCTCCTGCTTTCCCAGCATTGGTGGGAAGGATAAAAAAATAGAGGATTGCACCACTTCAGGGCCATGGGAAGCATGGTCCAGATGGAATACCAAAGACTTCATTCTAGACAAAATTGGGGCTAGTGAGGTTGAAATTGGGAAGTTACTTTATTAAGCCATTTTTATTTTCAGCTGGTTTATACCCAGAAATCAAACAACTTTTTGAAAATCATTTGGGAAAAGTGTCAGCAAAAATAATGTCTTGGTAAGACCACACTTGGAATACTGCATCCAGTTTTGATCACCACAATGTAAAAAAAGATGTTGGGACTCTAGAAAGAGTGCAGAGAAGAGCAACAAAGATGATTAGGGGATTGGCGCTAAAACATAAATAATGATTGCTCGAATTGGGTATGTCTAGTTTAATAGAAGACTAGGGGTGACATAATAACAGTGTCCAATATCTAAAGATCTGCCACAAAGAAGGGGGGGGGGGTGTCAAAGCACCTGAAGGCAAGATCAGATGCAATGGATGGAAAGTAATCAAGGAGAGAAGCAACCTAGAACTAAGACAAAATTTCCTGACAGAACAATTGATCTGTGAAATGACTTGCCTCCAGAAGTTGTGGGTGCTCCTGGAAGTTTTTAAGAAGAGATTGAACAACCATCTGTATGAAATGATATAGGGTTTCTTGCTTGAACAGGAAGTTAGAACAGGGACTAGAAGACCTGTAAGGTTCCTTCCAACTGTGTTATTCTGTTAATGTATAGACCAGGTTTCTTGGCTTGGCACCCTCCAGATGAATTTCAATCACAATTCCCAGCCAGAAAGAAATTTTGGGTGTTGCAGTTTCTAAATTGGGAGAAAAAAACAGTTTTTCAGAACACAATCCTAGGTTTTCCTCTCATTTCTGTATTGGATTATAGGATATTAAGAAACAGGGATTTCAAAGTTTGTCATCCGAAGAGAAGGTACTAAAATGATACAACTTAATGCAAAATTTCTGATGATTAAGTCAGGAATCTGATTACACTTTTCCCAACAAATTTATTATTAAAAGGCATAAGCTTTCATGAACTGCAGCACATAAAAGCACTGGATGAAATTCAAAGAGTTTATACCTTTTAATGACATTTCTTAATTAGAAAAGATGTTATCGGACTCACATCTCTCGTCTAAGGGTTTCTCTGACTGTGGTTGGGATATCCTTGCAAAGGGATATGATTTATCATTTTAGGGGGTCACACTACTATAAAATTGACATGATGCAACTCTTTTTTCCCCAGGTTATGTGTCGCACATTCCCACCAAAAGGAAAGCGCCTGCCTACAGCATGTATGGTGCAAAGCCTCCATCTAGCAAGGACAATGTTCCAGGTCCTTACTTTGTGCAGGGTACTGTGACTAATAGAGGAATTAAGACTGGTCCCTCTTATTCATTAAGTGGGCGAACTGAAACAAAAGTGGAGACTACCCCAGGTCCTGGTGAGTAACAGACTTCTATCCCAAGTATATAAATCAAGTGGATTGCCTCTTCTAAGAGCTCTGATTTTGAAAGATTCTGTGTGGTTAAATAGAAGCAAAAACCTGTCATCACCTGTACAAGAAAAGGAATTGATGTTATCCTACGCAGTTTCATGATACAGAACTGTTTTCAGTTAACAAGAAGGCTTTGTTAAAAAATAGATCTTGGTGCTTGAAGAACTGACTTCAACTTTCAGACAATAGTCACCTTTAGATCAGATGTGGGCAGTACTCAATCAATCAATCAATCAATCAAATAAATAAATAAATAAGCAAGCTAGTATACCTGGATTATAAGAATGGGCAAGCTATTTGTTCAAAATGTGAATATTGAGATGAACAAATTGATCATGTTGACTAGATAAGAGAACTTTTTTGTGTACACAGACACACACCTTTTTCTCTAGCTTACTGCTTTGCATGTTTTTTCTCCTAAGTATTACTTCTAAAATTCTAACACTGTTCCTCTTTGCAAGAAAAATAAATGGTGCAAAGATTATATTTTATCCTGCAACTACCTTGGCTCATGGTGGCCACAGAAAAAGTCCATGTCCTAGTAATAATACAGAAGTGGTTTACCACTGCTTCTTCCAGAATGATTTATTTTTTAGTACCCAGTATCCCAGTTTGGCTTACAGCTCTGAGATTTCTTGACACCTTAAGTACCATTCCCAAAGCCATTCCAAAAATGGCCACTATATTTTTAACTGTGGGGAGGGGACACACTCAATAATTAATCACATCTTAATTATTTACTTTATTTTCAGGAAATTTGAAATTAAATTAAATTAAATCAATTTTTTTGCTCCATTCCCATCCCCCCGGTCTTGTGAGCCAACCCTATCTACTTTTTTAAAGTGTGGTCTCCGATCTAACCTCAAAAGGGAAGAACAATACCTGATCCTGAATAAAATTGCTCAGTCCTACTTTAAGAGGCCCAATGAAAATTAAGTTTAAATCTAGTTTTAAGCAATGTTGTCTGTTTTTCCTAGCCTGTTACTCACCTGATAAGGCAAAAAAGGTTATCTATAAAGCTTCCCCCATGCATTCCATGGGGTATCGAACTCATGGAGGAAAGGTGGATAGCACACCAGGTAAGTCCGATTCCTTCTGTTTGTTGTTTGGCTTTGCTATTGTTTGAAGGAGTCATACCCAGATCCTGTTAATTCACAATTCAGAGCAATATCATCTAATAAACTGGAATGCAGCTCAGTTCCATGCAGGTTTCCTTGATGAAAGCCCAACTGAATTTGATTATGTGTAATTGAACCGAAGACCATAGAATTGTGATTCTTTCCACTACAAAAGATTTTTTTTCTCATTGAGGTAAGCTTCAGTTGTGCCTATCTCTGTTGCACTATGTCTATCCACAATTTGTTGGACCAATTGTGCAGCTAGAATATAAACTTGGTGGGAAATTGATTTAAACAAGAACCACAACAAAAAATGGGCATAGCAGGGAAAGAGCCCTTCATACCTCTTTAAACAATAAAATTCAGAAATTGGCTTTGGACATGAAAGTATTCAAAAATCATTTATGATAGTTTGACATTAAAAAAATACTCAACTATTCTCATGAACAATCTTCCATATTCTGGGTAATTTGTGGGTTCAATTTTCAGAATTCCCAATCAGCAATGCTACAGGAAAGTTTCTTTTCAAAATATTCTGGGAACTCAAATCCTGGAACATGTTTAAAAAGTGCCAGAAAGTAGAAGGCTGTTATTCCCAAATCCTAGTCTACACAAACCCAAAATAGCACTCTGAAAATCAGTGATTACCAGTCTCTTTCTCCAGGATTGCCAGAATTCTCACTCTTCATTTTGGTAATATTCACATTTTTCCAGGTCCTAACAATTATATGATTCCAGAGGTCATTGGACCACACTCAGTGGCTACCGTAGGCAGCCCTTCCTATTCTATGACAGGAAAGAATAAGCTTGGACGTTTTGATGAAGACCTTCACAAGGTAATCTGTGGACTCAATTCTTATTTTGTTGTATCAGTAATTTCATTACCACAATGGACAATCTGGAAACACATTTGGCTTTTAAACCTAACATTTCTGGTCTTCTGCTACTTACAGTTGGGCAGCATAATGGTTACACTCAGGGGTGGCATTCAGCCAGTTTGGGTGAACCGGTTGTTATGATTTTGCGCAGTTTGGAGAACCGGTAAAATCAATCACTGGCTAGCCTCGCCCACCCCACCCCACCCCACCCCACCCCACCCCACCCC